CTCCTTGAAATATTTACTTCATTCAGTTTTTATACATTTTATTTATTAAGTTCAAAGAACATTACACATAAGTCATAGTAATAGGCTTTGTTCTATAGTACCAATAATAAGAATACTGGAAATTATATTTTTATTTAACGCAATAACTTTTCAATACAAAGTAATGATAACTCCTATGTCTGTTGAATATGTTTCAGATTTTATAATTGTAAAACTCGCTTCTAGTTTTGTTATGTTTATAACATATTTCATGTTACATTTTCACATAATATGAGAAAATGAATTCATTACCGATCTAGTTCATTCGTCGTTAACGGAGTTAGACATTAGTTTATGTTTTACAGTTAACATAATAGTCATTATACCAAATTCCCATACAATTATTTATTAACTACTTATGTTAGCTAATAAAGTTTTTTAAAGTAATTGTGATTGTTTATTTTGTTGTTTTATTTCTGTAGTAATTGTAATAATTATATATATTTGATATAAAAGAAACTGCAAAGAAGAGAAAGATTTCCACAAAAGTAAGTACAATATTGTTTTTATATAAAACGAAATTTTACACGTGAATATAATGAATTTAAATTAGAGTACCTTGAAAAAGATAAATATAGCACACTCGTTTCTTATCAGATGCTTGATATACCTCCTGTTTGTATACAAAGATGAAACCAGGAAAAGCGAACAGAAGTGTTTTGTCAATATCTCGACCAGTTCGAAATTTCGTTTGTGCATGAAAGTGACTCTAAACATCGAGACAAAAGAAATATAACTCTGTGTCACGTTTGCTCCCAAATTCCGTGTACGAATGATAACATTTTCGCGGGAAACAATCGTAAGAAATAAAGGCTATATATAGCGACGGGAAATACAGTTGTATAAAAAGTAAAGGTTGCGCGGCAATTTCGCAGAAGTATGAGTGCGCTTGGAGCGGTCGATCGATTCTGAACACCTGCTACGCATGACGAATGCTTCGTCGATAGGCTAAAATCAGGTTACTAAAACTAGCTCGTATCGTTTGAAGATCAGTCGTACCGATAAGGAACCGTAGATCGATTGTGAACAATTAAAACGTCTATTGATTACTCTCACTCGTGCGAACGAGTATCGTGAGGCTGGAAAGGAAGCCGACTGGTAAAGCTATTTAGTTTGTCGCGTCGCTACAACGTCACGTGTGAGACATGGAAACAAGAAGTGCCGAATCTATGATCAAATCGTTTGGCGGGAAGAAATGGACGTCTATCGAGAAGATTTTGGCAAATTTTGATTTGCCTATCGAGGAAAGTACCTTAAATTACGAAAGTTTTCGTGTGATTTGCGCTGCTCTGTTTCCACCGGACGAGATCCAGCAAAACGATTGGATGATTCAGAACATTTTCCGTTTATTCGATTGCGATCGCGACGGGATCTTGAAAGGACAAGAATGGAAAACGTGAGTACGCATGTGTGTTCCGTGTAGGGTTGCCAATCTCCTTTTTAGAAGGAAACACTTTCTTTTCTCTTCTCTTTGTCTTTATCTTTTCGCTTGGGTTGAGGAAGGACGCTAGATATTCTTTTCTGACAAAATAGTGACGTACTTGATGATCTATAGCATCATTTATGAGAAGAATTTGGTATTTTTGGTGTCTTCCATAGGGAACATTTAATAAATTTAATAATAATTCGTTTGAACATGATTTTCTATGTACCAACTAATGTATAAAAAACCCATTACGATCAGATCTTACCATAATTCTAACAATATAATAGAAATACGAATTAAAGAACTGTATAGATAATAAAAATGGAGATTTATTCCGTCCTTTGTACTTACTTTACGTAATTGGCAATCCCAGTACCATACGAACCGAATAATAGGCCATTTAATCAAACGTTACGTTCGAATGCCTCACACGCGATCACAACTTTTTCGATACATTGTTCGTTACCGGAAGTGATGCAATCCCAAAAGATCGCGCAAAGATGAATTGAATTGCTAAACGCTGTAAAAGAATGAAAGCCAATGTAATTAAAATTAATCTGCATTAATTCTTTAATCTAAGTTACGTAGCGATACGAAAAAGTATTTCCTATATACTTTGAATTCACATGTTTATATGCTTTTTCTTTATAAATGATGTCGAACAATTCGTTATTTACATAATGAACATCCATCCATCGCCTACGTAGATTCTGCGACTGGTTACGGGTGATGGTCGAACCTGTAATTGCTCTGCTGATCGTGGACGTTCAAAACGATTTTATCGACGGATCTTTAGCCCTTCGTGACTGCGGATGTAATCAAGATGGTGTTGACGTTGTGGAGCCGATAAATTATTTGATAAAGGAGGGGCAATTCGATAAAATTATCTATTCCAGGGACTGGCATCCTGAGAATCACATCAGTTTTTATGAAAATTTGCATTTACGAGAACTACATCCAGACTCGAAGGTATGTGGCGTCATTGGATACTAGAGCTGTCGCGTAATACCTTGTGAGCGTTTAAAAAGTGTTTTATTTCTCCCGACGAATTTCCTTACCGAAATAATTTACCGAACTAACTGTGACGACCAAAGGACCACATACGCCTTTTCCAGTGGAACTTTCTCTTCTTTTGTACTCTTGCACATTTGGCGACCAGACCCGTGCGAGGCGAAGAACCCGTTGTCATCGTCTCTAATTCATCGTGTCCCTTTTAAGGTTTCGCCAGGCGAAACCACTTCAGTAATTTATTTATGATCTTCTTCCGCTATCCTTGCTACAAACTTTTCCTAATTTTCTCCTTTTCCTTTACCTTCTTTTTCTATCTTCTTTCAACGGAGTTACACAAGTGTTTAAACCTGTCTATCCTTCCGATCCTACATAACCATTCGTTCGCTCAAGTATCACCACAGAAAACATTTTTTCCTCGTTCTCACGTATCGCTTGCATTCTGTTTAAACGAACGCATTCACCTTAAAGAACGTTCGACGATATAATGCAGGGTGTCCCAAAAATGTTGTAACACGTTGAAAGGGGTGCAACATGATACAATCCAGAGATTGGGAAACTTTTATTTCAATAATAGATCACGATTGATAACATAGTATAGGCCACGTTTAACTCGTTTGTTATCGAACGTAATTTCATTCTGTAATTCTGATTATTATTTAACAAATGATGGATTTGTTATTCGAAATTTTGGGTAGATAAGAATATTTCCAATCTCTATTATCGACTGATTTGCGACGAATTTAAAGTTTCAATTGATCAAAAACGCAAAAACCCGGATGTCACCGTGACAATCTCTATTCGTCATCGGTCCTTTGTTTCCTAGTAGGAGCGGTTCACGGTTTAAGCACAGTAATCTCTCAAGCGACAATATTGCGTCAGATTGCGATAATTGGGCACTTCCATGTCCAATGGCGACTTATAAAACAGCAAAATTAAATTTTAGAGGTCCTGTCTAAAGCAAAACAAATATACAACATTTTTCAAATTAATCGTTCCAGCATGAAGTTCATAGAAAAGTTGGTCGCGAAGGAAAGTTAACGAACATGATTTTAAATGCGTATAGATAACAAAGGAAAACGCAAAGCCGTTCGACACAGTGATGTTCGCCGATCTTCACTTGGAACAGAAACTCTGGCCCAAGCATTGCGTTATGAACACAAAAGGGTCTGACTTTCATAAAGCCCTCGTGATCGCTCCAGGTGCAGAGCAGGTATGGCAGTTTTCAACGTGAATCTGCGAATGTATATTTATCCACCTAATTTTCGTTGACTATCAATCGTCTTTCAGGTGCTAAAGGGTCAGGATCCAGAGGTGGACTCATACTCGGTATTTTTCGACAACAACTCCAAGAATACCACACAGCTGCTACCACTCTTGAAGGAAGCTCGCGTCACACATGTTTTCATTTGTGGCCTTGCTTACGACGTCTGTGTGAAATCCACTGCATTGGATGGGCTTCGATTGGGTTATCCGGTGGCGGTGATCAACGATTGTTGCCGTGGCGTCGATATAGATGATATCGAGGATACCAAGAAATTAATCTCAGAGAATGGTGGTCTGATCGTTAACAGTGAGGACGTTCTGTCGCTGGTGAATGAGAAAAAGCGAAGTCTTATCATGAGCCATCAGTCGGCGAAAATGATGACCTCGATTTCATTCTCGGAAAGGTCCGTCAACACGTCTGCGGAGTAACACACGGTTAGGCGGGAAAGGTATATACAGGGTGTGTCAACGCGAGAACAGAACAGTCGCAATAGAATCTTTCTTTGTTCTTTTTTTTTAAATTTTTTCCAGCTCTCTTTGTTTTTAAACGAAAGACTATTTATTGTTTTAAACTAGACTCAGGACGGTAGCATACATCTTCGAACAGTCCAATATGGCTGCTTCAAAGAAGAATGTCCTACTCTACTTATCGTATTTCTTTTCAGCGGTTAGTAATTACCGGAACGTCCTGTATTTTGAGCGTTCTCTTTGTAGTTTACTCGAGTCAAGTAACTTAGTTATCGCTTGTAGCGATTAGTAGTGGTTAGAGAGGCACTATACTTAAATATTCATTAAGTTTAACAAATAAAGTTTATGTGTTCGATCAGAATCATTCGATTTTGAACAAGGACATCGGGTATGGTTATGTAACGGTATTTAAGAAGCGTACACGTAATTTATATTCTTATCTACATCACATACATATTTTATATATTACATATGTTCCTAAGTATACTGGTCAAAAGAATTTGTGTATCACGTTCCTAGGTAATTTAGGAAAACAAACAAACCTATACTAAATATTTTGATATACATACATGTCATGTCGTGGCTCTTGCAGTATTAAGTACTTTAACTAGCGATTTAAGTTGGTGATCCTCTAATTACTTGGAACAGTGTATATTAAATTATTACTTAATTTTTTATAAGGCACTTTAACGTCGAAGAAGCGTCGTTTACACATTCCTCTAGAGACTGTGAGCTTCTAGCGAACAATAAATAAAAATGGAATAAATAATATCGTAATTATTTATTAATAGTCAGTCGTTGTTTAGCGTTGCCTGTTTATCAGCATACGAGCAGTTTTCTCAATTTTATTCGCAGACTCGTCGTCTACCGTTAATTTGCAGGCGTACCTATGTCTTGCTCCGCAATCATCGCTTCGGTACGCGTATATCTTAGATGTTGAATTGTATGCCAGTTTTAGACACCTGAGAATACAAAGTACAATAATTTCTATTTTTATAAAATCGTAAATTAAGTATTGATACATTAAATGAAGTAGAATGCCTACCTGCCATCGCCTGGAACAGTTTGCTTCGTGTTTTGATAAACTGGCTTCGCGCTGCTCGCCCAAATCCATAACAGCCCTGGATTCAATCCTCCCGTCCAGAAGTGTTTCCCCTTCAACTTCGAATTCGTTTGCAAACTAGCCAGCACATCTCGTTTTTCGTCGTTCGTCTCGAATTCGAGCAAATGGCCGCCCAATCCGCGACAGAGGCTGGCGGATGACTTCCAGTCGAAGTCACGATCGCTAAAGTGATAGCAACTTTCGCCAATCTTCGTGTAATTCGATGGGCAAGGCTCTAGAAATGAATTAAAAGGTGATATAACAGATAAATAATAAAATTACACGTTAATCGTTATTAATTAAGTACTTTATAGAGTTGCATGTGAGATATGAAAAGAAAACAGGTGTTAAACAACGAGTTTACCTTTCTTTTGATTCATATTTCCCGAAATCACGTAATAAAGCAGCTCTTCTGCTCTCCTCAAGCGATTTTCCAGAAAATCTACTCTGTAGACGAGCTTCTCTATGGCACCTGCAGGAATAAATCACAGTTTCGCAAAGTCTGTTTACATAGTCCAATTCCAAACATTGGTAGCCGTGAAATGTTTTATCGTAGGAAACAAGTTTACCAAGTAGATAGAGATCAGTTTCCGTCACCTCTCTCTTGTTTGGCGACGATATTTTACTCGAAACTGTCAAGGCTTTATCGCCCAGTTTCATCACCTTTGAAGCCCGGGAAGACCTCGAGTCAGAAACGACCCAATTTTCCAATATTTCAGACCATGGTCCTGTTGCTTCGATGGTGGAAACATTTGACAAGCCTAACAATGTTTTGAAAATCTCGTTAGTCATAAGGTAGTCGAACGTCATCAAGATGATAGTATTTTCCTTGTTCATACCAGGAATTCCCATGCAGACGTTCAGCTGGAAAATTAGCAAAAGACACAAACAAACGGATCCTCTATCTTTCACAGTAGACCTGAAAGTGCCGAGCAGTTATTATTACATTAAAATGAGAACGGATTAAGGAAACACTAAATGCTAGTTTTATTTCTTTGGTAGCATACTATCTCTAACTTTCTCTGAGAAAGTCCAAAGGAATGCGCGTCGCTTCATGCAAACCATCTTTAATAAGAAATCGATACGACTAATTAAATATATTTTAATGTATTTTAATCGTTAATAGAATGTCATTATCTCGTTACGATAATTATGTTTATAATTAGAAATATCATGGTGATAAATGTATATCTTAACAAACAATTTATTATCATGGTTGTTATCTTTCAATTGTTAAAAACATCGTCTGAGTTTAAAGCGTTTGGAATTCACATTATGTTATCTTCATTATTTAATGCAATTAATGCAATTGCTTGATCGCGAAAAGTGATTAAAAGATTAATGTTTAATTCCAGTGTATATCTACTAAAATTAATCTATTACGTACGTTGTTGCTTGTATATTGACACTGCTCAATTCGAAGAAACACGCAAAGCTTTTGGATACACTTTGTAACATTATTAATGTCAACGAGTTGTAAATTCTTTTTAAATAGGGCGGTAACTAAAGTGTCGAGTTAATGTTACGATCGTTTTTTTTTTCAACCGTATATCACTTCACTTACATAATACTCGTGAAACAAGGACGTTGCGGTTATTATCATTCCACTTTTGTTTCTTCCTTCGCGTTTCTCACCTGGTCGATCCGCTTCCGTTAGCGAGCCGCGCAAGACTATCGGACCAAGAGATCCGATCGGTAGCCTTCCACTGAACACTTTCTCTCCTCGAAAAAATTAGTCACTTTCTTCCTCGCACGATGCAATTACCGCCAGCGTTTTCACTACAGATTATTAATTTCAATAAACAAATCTCTCTGTAGAACGGAACTCATCGTCTCCTTAACCCTTTGACTGAGAAGAATTTGCGTCGACTGTAGTCCAGACGAAGGGATTGAAATACTGCGAGCTGTTTGATTCTCTGCACGTTTTTAATGAAACAACTATCGTGTAAACAACTATACATTTGATATGTACATAGTGTTAAAAATTTATTTAGAGTCTGGCAATGACAATGGTGCCTCCCAAACTGTTTTTCTTTAAAGTTACAACTGGACTGCGAATTTTACGTATTTATCACACAAGCTAATACGACAAATACATGCCATACATCGTATGTACACTCATTAAATTATTATATGAATTAATAGATTATATTTAACATACATCATGTATATTTTTCGTATGTTTTCTATATTACTGTACGAAATAAATTCATAAAATCCTCAGTCTAATTGTAACTTGTATTACGGTCATAATTACTATAATCAATAAGTCTAATTAAAATATGTACTGCGATAAAAAGTGTGCCATTATCAAAAACAGTTTGGGAAACTCCGGTGTAGCGCAAGGCAGCTATGCACGAGTGAATCGTTCTTCAGTCTTTCGTTTCGCGCATAAATTAGAAGTAGACGGTGAGATTGAGTCGTTCAGTCCCCGATTGGCTGTTTCTGGATCTCGTTTCAGCAGCTACTTCGACGCTGTCCACTGTCTGCAAAATAAAAACTTTCTCAAACACGGAATTCGACGTAATTCATTCGAACGTCGTCAATGGGCCCATTTCAAACATTTCAGATATATCGTGACCACATCGAAAATTATTATTCCTTTTATTCACTTACCCTATCGTCGTCGTCCCAGGACAGTTTCTTGACCCTCTGAGAGACAGAGCAAGCAGGCCAGGCAGGCACCAACGAGTCTGGAAGATCCGCGGAGTAACTGGAAGATTCGCGAGAGCCTGTGTTAAAATTAGTCTTCGCGCTCAGGTCGTTCATGTTCTGGACCAACCCCCCGATGTTGGGGATGTTCGACGTGGCTGATAAACCCGGAGGATTTGGAGCTGGAGCTACTTTATGCCTCGCATACAAAGGCACTTGTCTAGCCGACGATAAACCTGATTTACAGAAACAAACAGTAAAAGATGTCATGTTTTCTAAATTTTCCAAAAGAAAACCCTCGATGTACCTCTGAGAAAATGATAGGAAAGTTAATTACTTTTAATCGTGGCACTGTAAGAGTTCCTTGCCCCGAAGACAGGATTGTCGATGTCCTCGCCGTCGTTAGTCGTCTCTCTCATTTCTCCGTGATTGCTATCATCGACGTTTGCTTGGTCGACGTGATCGTCGTCGTTAGGATCGTTTCCGTCAGCCTCCTCGTCGTTTTCGTCGATGCTGTGCGCGCCCTCGGAACGATTGCCCCTGCAGGAGGCTTCCAGGGTGTCTTGGAGCATATTTGCCCCGAGGACCTGAGGAGTCGAGCTCAGGGCAGAGGGAATAGGCGATTTCTCGCGGTACCCAGTTCCAACAGAGCTTACAGATCCGCTGGCTTTTGGTCTCTTACTGGTAACACGTTCAAAGAAAGGAGCTCGAATTTAAAAAGACTAGATTCGGCTTGAAAAAGAAAGTTTGGAGCTGCTTTACAATATACAAAAGCTTCTCGACTTGGAAATCTGAACTCTTAGATGGAAAACAATACGAGAAGCACTGTAGGATTTGGAGACATTGTGATTGGAAGTTATTGGAAGTCGAAGTTTATATAGTTTATTAGACGAAGAAGATGTCACTGGGTGCAAAAAAGGAGATTATCGTTAATGAAAAAATGAAACTTTTCAGATAATTTTACTGCTTTACTTACTGTTTATATATGTACAAAATTAACACAAGTATAATGACCCCGAGGAGACCCAAGACTGCACCGAAGACAGCGACCAGGAGGACGCTGCTGCCTAGCCAAGCAGGTGCAGCTCTGGCAGCGACCGGTAGTGAGCCACTGTTGGGTATGTGCACGATCACTGGGATCATGCTCGATCTTTAACAGAGATGATCAACAAGAAACTTTAATTAGTAGCGATTTGAAGTAGGTAAGCTTCTATTTTATTTAAAATACAGTCAATGCTATGATTTTTACAAGGAACCATATTATATACATACCTTGGAGGACGTCCTGAGTCGGAAGCCACTGCTACCAATCGCGCCAAGGTCCCATTGATACTCGCTGATGATCTAAGGATCAACTCCCCACTGTCACGTATCTCGAAAGACCTGTTACACAATTAATGTAATTAATATACTCTTATTACCCTCATTTCTGGTGTTTCTAAATATTTTCTTTGCATTCTATATGTTTATAGTACCTTGCATCGGGGCCCCTGAGGGACAAACTGACCTTGTCGTCCCTGTCCCCATCAGCAGCCTCCAATTTCCCTGAAAGTTTCACGGTCAGTGTTCGTCACAATTCTACTGATAAATTCATCGAAGAAAACCGCGCAGGTGAAAGTGGCTTACCAACAATGGATCCCTCCTTCAAGGTTGCAGCGTGAAATTCGTATCTGGGATGTCGAAATCGGGGTTCCCATTCGTTTACATCCTCGACGGAGACATTCACTCGCGACGTGTCGTTCTGAAATATAATAGCAAGCATTTAGCAGCTTGATCATTTCCTTTTAATTCCAAATTTTTAAGTAATCGAATCGTGACCAAATTTGCTGACGCGAGTGTACTTTGTACTCCGATTGAGAGAACAGAGATTTGTTTACCAGCTTAGTGTATTTTTAATTGAATGAACTTACATGATGGCCATCAGTGACGCGGACCAGGAAGCTGTGCTGGACCCTCCTCTCGTAATCCAAGGTGCCCTTCAAGATCAGTTCGCCAGAATTGGTGATGGAGAATCTCTCCAGATCTTCGATCGCCCCAACCAGCCAAAACCTTAAATTCTAAATGTAGAACTCATCATTTCTATTCCAGTTTGTTCGGCAAAAGTTTATTTCTGACTTGAACTCACGGAATCCACTTTGTTCACGCCTGTCGTTAATAAAACGCTCCCAGGTGGTGTGTTTTCAGGGATGCTCGTCTGATGATCTCGTCGTACGAATCTGACAGGCAATCTTCCACCTAATTTGCAACGTTTTGATTGATCGCAGTTATTTCAGAGATTCGAATCGATCAAACGAGACGGTTAATTGCTCACCTGCGGTGGGTTCCACGTTCCAGTCGCTCTCGCGTGAAACGACTATCGTTGAAAGAGCGTATTTGTCTGGATTATCCACCTGTGTAGCCTGTGGATCGAGTATTTATTTATGCAAAATGTAAAGCAACACTTGGCAATCGAGGACTCTTCAGTTGCGCTTTGCCTTAACCTTTAAACTCGCCGTTGGTACTACTACCGTGCATTGAAATCATCCGAGCTGGGTTTGCTTTAATGTTACGTTCACGGTTATTTTATACAGAAGCTAGTGTTTACTTGAACTTTTCACTATAGAGTTCACGGTTTATCTTTTGTACAAAATCAATATTGAGATTAATTTTCAATTTTCAATCACAAGTTGTGTTTCGAATTTTTAGAAATAAATGAAATAACGCTTGCCTTTACGACGATTGTCGCTGGAGATAGGAGTTCGTGCTCGTACAGAGGACGCGTTATGGCGACCTCGGCGGTTTCAGGGTTCAGGGTGAGGAATGGCAGAATTCCGCCTTGGATCGTGTATTTAACTGGAGCGTTGATGCCCACGTCTTGATCCACAGCCTTTATCGGAGCTGGATCCACTTTTAATACCCTCCTCTAAAACGAAATGTATTGTAATCCAAAGATGACATACTTTTTGACAAGAGAAACTTTGTGAAGACACATTTTTATTAGGTGAAGCTACCAGTTGTACCGTTTTTATCTGTCGAGGCACGACAATTTTGTATTGGTCGGTTTGGAAGGCAGGATTCTGATCATCGGCGTCGATCACGTTCACGTGGAGGGTTGTGGTTGATGATTTGGGCGGGTTACCCTGATCCTGAAAATAGATAAGCAATTTTTTTACTGCATCAGGTCGAGTGCGTGCATTCTTCAAGTTTTAACTGAATGAAAATGATGATTTACTTGTGCTCGGATATTGACGGAGAAATTAGCAAGGATTTCGTAATCCAATGGCTTTCTCAAAACCAGAGTACCTTCTAAAGCGTTCACGAAGACGAAATAGTCCTGCGCATAAATGGAGTGTTCTATACATAGGATGTCTCCAAACTGGTGTCAAGAATCAGTTAGAAGTAAAATACCAATAATTGTAAAATATTTAAAATCATAAAAACAAGTACCGAATGAGGTCCTGGAAGGACGGCATACTGTACGGTAGAAAAAGGTCCTGGCTGATCAGCATCCACTGCCCTTACTCCTTGAAGCACCCTCGTACCAACTACAGTGACCTAAACACAACGAAAATTCACCTTAATTCTTCATGTTCTTTCTAAAACAACTTAAAACACGCTTACCTCTGAGATGTTGAGCACGTAAGGCGCATTCACGAACTGCGGGGCATTGTCGTTGGCGTCAGTCACGCGAATATTAACCGGTATGACGAACCCCTTGCATCAGAAACAAATAATTGAGACTGTTGGGTCATCTCCTTTCTATCAGCAAGAAAATTCCAAAAATATTCGGTGCTAAGAATATTGTATAAAACTCACAGGGTCCAAGGTGTGTTTCCTCTCGCAGATGACGTTCACGTAGACACTAGCTGGTCCATCAACGCCCTCCTTGTCCAAAGGTCTGATCAGACTCAGGTTCTTCGAGTACGCTGCAAATGTCACAGGACTGTCGATCTCCTGGAGCCTGAGCTCGATGTCCCCTTGAGGTCCAGGGTCACCTAAGACCCCCAGAACGCCCGCGGTGTCACCGACAGGCAGGTCTTCGCTGACGAAGAGATGCGCAGCGGTGGCACCGTTCTCCAGGAAGCATCGCGCGTCACGGATCACTGTGACGGTATCGCAAACTCGATTATTTATTGTGTTCAAGATTATTTCACGTTCGAGAGAAAGTGGAGTCGAAAGGGGGAAGAAGCTTAGGTGGCAGGAAGTGATAAAAGGAACGGCGATTCTTATTTCTTAAGCTTCCTTGTGTCGCGAGCGATCGTGTTCCAAACGATTCGGATCGAGACGTTGCGTTCATGTGAGACATGTGGTTTTGGGGTTTCCGGTGATTTTCAGAACCGGTTTGCCACTCTTCGGCAGTCAGATGTAAAGGTCGGACTTGCTGGGAAGAAGGACAATTTTCAAATAAAATTTCAATTTAGTGAAAGGTAAAGGTTTCTAATTACCGTTGTAATTATTTGCAATTACAGATGTAATAAGACGTTTAAAATCGCTCTCAAGACAAGGATGTTCGTGACAATGGTTCGTTATAAGACCGAGTTAGTTGATCACTTAAGCGATCGTTGCCTCTGCATAATTCTCCGCGCATGGGAGCCCACATTTTCCGTTATTTTCGATTTAACTGTACCGTTTGTGACTATTTTCGTCTACTAAATTAATTCAAGCACAGACTCTTCGATGATCTATACGTTAAATTCAAAGACAAGAACGATTTCCTACAAGGTCCAAGCAAAACTACCGGAAACAATTTCTGCCTCGAAAAACAAAATAAAATTTACTCGATAGAAAGTCAAGCTTCTAAAGTTGAAACGTGAGCGACTCGCGATAACGTTTCGTTCCCGTTTGGGGCTAACCTCCACCTTTGACATGGTAGAAACCTACATTTTAATGACCGACGGAGCGTTCGCGATGAGTCGTGCAGATAAGAAAACAAAAATATCCAGATTCACACAAACGTGACGTACGAATCTGTACATGTCCACTAAAACGTGCACACGCAAGCGTTATTTAACAGGAGCGCGTGCACGAGGGTTAGACGTGCGCGCTCCCTTGGAGCGGAATTCCGCCCGCTGCCAGCTCATGGCGTACATCGTCGATGCAACAACGTTCCGGCGTTGCCTTTCGTAATCTTTTTCACCGCAGTCGAAGACTTTTCCAGAAGAAAACGATAGTATTAATTCCAATTAGAAGAAATTTATGCCTACTGTACAGTTCGCGTTCGGAGGCTGCCATTGGTAGCGGCTCGTTCCGTCTGCGAGGTCTCGCGCTATTCTAGCTATTCCATTTTCGAATTAAATTATACTAAGAACCTCTAATTAATGTGCGCAATTATGTTCAACGTATTCCTCCAGGATGTCTCCACGATTTTTCCAGGATTATCGCCAAGATACGTTGTCGCGAATGGTTGGAGTGACGAGGCTAAACGAAGTGTCTTCTTCGATTGTTAATTTATTCACCGTACTCTATGTATAACGCGACAACGAGAAGCAACGCGTATTCACACGGTTCTAAGTAGCGAGGCGAAGTAAACGCTCGTTTAAGCGTTATCTTAACGACGGACACGTTTCCGGTACGAGATAGCAGCTAATTGGCATGTAAATGAAAAACACTGGTCGTTTTCGATGAAATGGAAAATTATGAAAATAAAGAACGTGTCCGAATGTCACGAAAGGTCGCGAGAAAAAGAGACACGAGTCTAACCCGTTGGCCGCGAACATAATTGCGAGATAAGAATTAACGAGATAAGGACTGGTTACGGCGTCAACGAACAATGATCGCGCGTAGAAATTAATTTAAATAAAAAAGAATATTAAATACAGGGAGAAACATTACGGGCCATCGATAGGACGTCTGTCGCAACGCCATGTTTTGATTGCAACGTTTCGTCCGCTCGGCGTAAAAAAAAAATTGATTAAGAAAGGTTCACAACACGCAACGAGCTGAGCATTCGAAAGTATCGCCATTCCTTCGCACTCAACGCGACCCGATTGCCGCGCTGGCTGATTTCCACGAGTCCTTTGAGGAAAACAAGAAAAGAGGACGAGTTCGAGTCGTGTGTCGGGATTTTCGCAACTATGACGGCTTTCTAAGTGGTTCGATGGCGGTCTGGGCCTGCAAGTGTCGCGAGGAGCATCGAAGGGAAACGGAAAGGCCAGGAAACGTGGGGAAATTTCGTGGCCCGTGTCAGAGCCGAACTCCTCTTCGCGATTCTTGTGCGTAACCGTTCGCACGCGATCAACCGTGCGATGAAACGGAAGAAGGGGCCGATTAAGGTCGCGGTTGAAGCGGATAGAGGGATGCCGGAGGTGGGAGGGGGTCAGCAGGACAATTCAGGAAATAGAAGGGACGAAAGGGAGGCAGGAGGCGCATGAATGGCGTGAGAAAACTCGGAGGACCCACATTGGCCGTGTAAATGCGCCGTGCAGCACAGGATTGGCAGGATCCTCAGAATGTTGGGTCTCATGGCGATCCAAGGACATCCTTCACCGGTCCCAGCACCGGCAGATGCATCTGCAAATCGAGGAAAAACGATTATGAGGACGAAGGAAGATTAAGGGCAATTTGTTTTATTTCCCAAGAAGATTTATTGACTTAAGTAATGTCTGAAATATGTGTCATTGCGTCATTAGGTGTAGTACTACTCAAAGTAACACAGTATCATTATATAATCATGTATGCAACTGGCTGCATCGAGGGCATGATTCTAATATTTTTATTTGCTAAATGCACATACCTTTTGGTTATGTCTATTTATTATATCAATATGAATCACAAATGCATAAAATCTGTAGTTTAATCATTAGGTCTGGGTTAGATCTGACACTACTCTACAGTATTATTGTGTAATCGTACAATCATATAGAATATGTAACCACCCTATTATGGTATTGTTCACATGGTTGTGTGAATAACTACCTTCCTGTATGAAGAGCCTAATACTTGTTACAACTTTATATTAAGTAATCCTCGACAGAAAAGCAACAGTCTCAGTACACAAACCTACACAGAAGGTCCTAACCAGAGGTCCAGCACATGTTCACTAGGGCATCGTCAGAAATTCACGTGACGCATATCATAGGGTTGCATTCGCGAGTGGCGTGACAAAGGCAGGCCTCTGGCAACAAAAGCAAGAGCAAACATTTGTCGGATAGACGTTGGATCATCGAGTGACGGGTCGAAAAACGAGCGTCTGTGCCTGCAACAGGCAAACATAACGCGTGGTTAGAAAGCATGCGAAGAAACTACTTTATTACGTGAAACCTAGATACGTGGAACGACATCCGAACCGAGGGTGGGGGTGGCGAGAGCGATAGTTTGTCGATCCTTCAAAACCAAAGAAGGCCAACGTTGATCCAAGCGCGGAAAATTAGCTCCTCGATCGCGGAAAAATTCCCATCGACCCTGGGAACGGGATTTCCCATTCCTTTGACCATTTTAGAATTCTTTCCAAACCACGAGAGGCGTAAACGTTAGTTGCAGTTAGTAGAACCACGTTCCTATTGTTCCGAACTCCAACACGATTCTTCATACTCGTCATAAGCACGCCAACAATCGTGAAACAGATCTGTGGATCGTTTCGCGCCGCATCTAGATCCAACCGATCGGCGATCTGTGACCCGAACGATAACTCGTCTCAGAAATGACAGACTGTTGAAACAGTTGGCAGCCATTGCTCAAAAGTCGTGTCCTCGCCACAAGAGAGTGTAATCACCGTACCCTTGCTAAAGTCGCCGATTAGATTTCCTATCGGGTGGAACAAAGCGGTAAAAGGAATCGCCGCGGGAGAGTAGGCGGAAATAATCGAAGGAAAAAGGATTCCTAGGGCCAAACGATTTATACGGGATACGCGAGCCGGATACGGCGGTTATGTGGGCCACGATACTCCTCAAATTCACGGACCGTAAACTGAAACGCACTGCCATGGGCAACCGGCGTAAAGACCTCCCCCCTGGCCACGATTCGCGATGCAGACGATTCAATGGTGGTTCGAGAAACGTTTTGATGAATCACTTCGTTCCGTCTGCAACGTATCGCCGTACTTTCACGATCGGAGGAACGGAATCCAACAGACTTTCAACGTTTGACTTGTGGAACAATGCCGGTTCCTTTAAGAAAGCTGGCAGCTTTGATGCGAAAGCTTGCTGATACCAAATATTGGGACTGAGAAGATGAAATGGAGATCCTTTTCGGCAAAAATTTAGTGCCATCAAGGGACCATGTTTGCGCGAGGACAAATAGAATCCCGAGTACTCGGAATGTCGAGGAGTGAAGAAGAGGGGTCGAACTTTGACCGATAGCAACGGCCCCGCTAATGACAGCAGTAAAATGGCTGGAGTATACACCCTGTCTGGCTGAACCCAGGACTGCGCTTGTATTGGTGCATGGTCACTTTGTTGTGCAATTGCGACCCCTCGAAATCGATGCAAGTTTTCGACCAGTGCGTTCTTCGACTCCACCCTCCAACAGTCGAAGGTTTTCCTATCTGTTTATCAAGCTTTACTTCTACTCTATCAAGACTAAAGAACCCAAAATTCAATGCATTTAAAATAACTCCTTCGCGTCTAAATGCTTACCACAAGAAGCATACGATGATCTCCAGAGCACTCCGATCTTCCAGTTCCTCCTCGTTCCCCCAAGTCCTTGTCACGTATCAACAACCACTGAATATTCCTCTTAAATCGTCACCATTCACTCAACTCGATCACGAAACTATCGTCGACATCAGCAACGATCAAACTTCTCCAACGAACACTTCCCGCCTTTCCTCGCGACGAACCCCTTCTTCGACGCTCCCATCGCGCAGAGCAACCCTGACACCATCGACAAGCACCCTGAATATTTATTTTACGCGTTCCCGTGGCAGACGAGTCCTTATAACCGACTGTTCCTCCGTTTTCTTTCTTTTCGTGATCCCCACGCCCGTGCACCTCGTCAACGAAGGAACCTATAGGACGCACCTGTCCGCTTTCAGCCAGCAGGACTCGCCACTACGAAACGCGGACGAGCAAAGTGCGCGGTAGAGCGGCACTCGGGAAGTCGGTTCACCATTGTTAGGTAGGGGGAATCGACGACCAACCGAGGCGCCTTCCTGGCCCTGCTTCGAACAGGTGTTTACTTTCGTCAGGAGGAAATTGTACGAGTACGTGTCCACGGGTGCACATGCAACTGCGCTGCCCTCACCATCGGCCTCGTGAAAGCCGAAATCCTTCGCTGGGAAGACTGACGGGGTCTGGTTGCATTGTTTTTAAACCTTTGAGGCGATTTTAATTGGGAGACGTACGAGGATAGAAGCGTGCGATATCTATGCCTAATTGTGGTGGTGAATTAGGAATAACGCAGGTGAGAGTAGAACTGACGGATTTGTTGATTCTTGAGAGGATTGGATATCGGTTCCTTTGGTATCGTTTTGTTGGAGAGGTGCAGGATCTCCCAGCCGAGTTTAGACTTCAGAAATGCGAGGTTTATCCCTTGACTGATTGGTAGAATTAATTTTGTGAAAATTAGAAATAAAATATTGAAATTGTCGGAGGACGTGTATGCGTCTATTTAGAGCACAACCGGTTACGTAGAGTTCAAGCTGGTCGCACTTCACGCGATCGCATGTCAAGAGGTGTTTGTCGAACAGATTGAACGCTATCGATCTTTTTTTATGGAATTTCTATATTTTTACAAGGAGACTTTCCAAGGAGACGTCGTTCCAGTTAGTCTCGTCTTCAGATTTTCGGTTATCGTCGAGAATGGCCGAAGGTACGAGGAAGAACTCCTTTTCGTTTTTAAATAAACGTTTACAAAGTTACTCGAGGCGCTACAGCGATCGAACAGTGAAATACAAAGTTACATTGATCATTTATGCGATGTTATAGACGCATAGAACGAGATAGTGCATTCACATCAAGGGGGTTCCGTTCCACTGTACGTAAGCGTCTTGCCATCTGCAATAAATCAATTATTCATTCCGTTATTCATGCAACTGGATCGATTGCTTGTTGCAACATACTTTACAAAACTGGGTTTATAAAGTTACTCGTCTTAAGAACGATTCTGGAGCCATATTAATGCGAACGAACTAGAAATCGTAGGATGTGTAACAAGAATACTCCAGAAAGAATTGACACATTGACACAGTAATCGTTATTAATCGATACACTGATTCTGAATGCAAGACTGGTACTTACTTGGAACGAATAAGCTTCTCCAACGGGGTCGCAGCAATGTCCATGCACTCTTTGCTCGAACCCTCGAACTCTGAATCGTTTGCTGAGTTCGATCTAGTGTCCACTGTCAAAGTAGCATGGCTGCCGCCGCAGGTGAAGTACTGAACGTCGAATCTTGCAAAAGAACAGTCATCACAGTCAGAACAGTCATTACGAGCATTACGAACATGTTCCTTCCCCGTGTATGGAATATTTACAAGAAGAACTTATCAAAGAAAGAGAGAACGTACAGACGTTCAGCGTGATAATTCCTAAGCAATTCCCGATTGGTGTTGAAGAGGACGCCATGGTGGCCATGGCAAAGAGTGACCCAAATGGGAAGACTGGGGGTCTTGAGACGAGAGCCTGGTTGTTTGGTCGTTTGGCCATCGCCCTCGTGCACCAAGAAGCCTATCTCGCTCCTCACGAGGACGCCCCATTGAGGTATGGCCTTGAATGTCACAAGGAAACTGAGAAACGAGGCTGAGAAAAGAAATGATGAAACTTACGTATGTATTTTCATCTCCAACGTGTAAGACTCCATTGTGTAGATGAGGCGAGGCACGACCAGTTAAGGAAAGCATCACAACGCTGGTGGGGCCTTCTTCAGGGCAACCACTTAGTATCGAGGCTCTGGGGTCTTCGAGGTCAGCTCGTATTCTGCATTGGACAATGAATGTTTAATCGACGTTCTACAGTGATTTTACTTCTGAATTTTATTTCGTTTGGAAGGTACTCTTAACGAAGCGATAAATTACACGAGTGCTTACTTCGAAAGGTTTCTAGAAAGCATGGCGCTGTACAGCAGCAACTGAGCACCAGGACCACCCTCATCCTGGAACTGAAACTCGATGTTACACGTCAATCTTTTATTTATAAATCAATTGGAAAGGTAATCTGGCCGTCTTACCAGGTACAAGTATCTTTTGATGAATATTTGGAGATCGTCCAGGGAGTCGAACTCGAACAAGTGCAGCTGAAAGTAAATTATTCGTTGCTACATATTTATAAGTTCTTCAAGTGCGACGCATAGGAAGGAAATTGTGAGAATGCGTGGACAATGGAGCGATGCGCCTTATTATATTAAACAATGCGTTGAAAGTGGCCGTTAATTAAAACTTGTTTTGAATTAGGCCCTCTAAACCAAGTACTAATGAGATGGAAAATTAAGCGAAGAGAAAAACAATCAAAATATATCGAAAGTTTCACTGGTTTCAGTGCTGGATGGCGAGGTGCACGGTAACTCGAGCAGGTGATCGTCTAATCATCTGGGGCAGTGTGTTAATAGCATGTTGAAGCCAGTGGAACAGTTGATCCTTTAATTATCCTTAGCGCATTTACGTACGGTCTCAGTCAGTCCATCCTGGAAGTATTGCACGCTATGCTGCAAATAGGGTGTCTCCTGAGGTAAGGCAACCACAGCCCTCGGCACGTTCGCGTTTCCTGCGACACTTTGATTTGGCGAGCAACCAGTATTTTGCACGACGAATCCTCCGGCGCATCGCCAAATGATCTCGGCTATCGCCGCTGTCAGGACATCGATTTGCCTGTCGTACGACGGTTTCAGCAGGCTACCAACAGAAATAATTGTCAGAACTTTCGATTGCTTCTCGATATCATTGATACCGTTCCGACAACCTGACCTGAATAGCGATCACGTTTCTCGCGCGGTATAATTAACACCGGAGCTGTTGCGTTTCTTTATTTACCGAAAGTGTAGCAATCATTCACAGGCAGGAAAAGTAATTGGACAATTTTAGAGGTTTAGAAACTTTGGGTGGGATCAAGAAGACCTTAAGGATCAGGCATGATGGAGAACAGCATGAAATTAAATAGTTCAAGGTCTGTTGGGCTAGAATTAAAGCTACTCGAAGAGTTCGAAAGGTAATTAAACACTTTCGGAGATTTATTACTCAAGAATTGAGTTTCTAAGATAGTCCGACATTAAGTTTCCTGTTTTTATAAAGTAAAATCGTCTTGGTGAGGTATTCAAGAATTGGTATTAGATAGACTGGAAAGTAATGTAGTTTCCTTTACATTAAATTCAAACAAATTTTTATTTTTAATCGATTATGTAATCGCCCTTGTTATTAACAGCCTTTTTGGCTTAACAGCCTTAAAATTGCAAAAACGACATTACTTTTCAGTCCACCTAAAATATGAATTTGTACCTATGAAAATGTAACGTGGAAGACATTTACCTCTCTGGGTTCGTATGGGTTTCCTGTCTGTTGCACTTGAACAGAAAGTGCTTCAGCATGATGGCCTGAACCGCCGTGACGAGGCCTCTCGTCGTGTTCCGTGGCGATCGTAATCCAAACGCCAAGGTCTGGCCATAAGGTCGCAAGGTTAATCCGGTTCTTGCCCATTCTGGTTTCGGTGGAGTAGCGGCGCTTCCGAAAACAAGACCCCTCAGAGTCTGCCATTCGAAGATGCAAAGAATAGTTCGATATTCTACTGTTAATCTTTAGCTTGAAAAATATTAGGTCACGGGAAATCCTATCGTGACATCCTAACTAGAAATTTTAATGTCCGTCATCAGAAATAAAAGGAATCCTTCGATCCATCAACGTTCATCGACATATGCGATGAATAAATAAATACGAGATAATTCCCACCCATCAAAGACAGGATTTCCCCACAGAAGAGACCTCGATCAAACAAAATTACCATGCACGTTTCCTCGTCGATGGGTTTGCCGCCAATTACCGCCGTCTTCGTCAGCGTCCTCGTGTTCCTCGGGTATATAATTTTTTCTGAAATCAAAGACACATCGAGGAGTTAACGTTGACATTGCCCACTGTGCAGACTCGAGTACGTTCTCCACCTGGGTACAGTTCATCTGGCTCTCCCATAAGCGCAGCGCACCTGGCAGCTCTCGCGGACAGTAACATCTCTCTCGGACTTCAACTTCAAAAGATACCGAGATTCTACATGTAGGCCGAACCAAGGTACCACGAATCGAAGCACTGTAGTCGAGAAAGACCGAATTCGCGTTCGAGCGTCGAGTTCGCCGTCGAAATCGAACAGCGAACGGCGGAACGGAAGCGGGACATCCACGTGGCTCGGGGACAGGCTCGCGACGTTCTGCCTATTGTCACCTGGTGATGCACACTGGCAAGCTATCGAATATCAATTGGGGATTCGTGCAGGACTCCAAGACCCTTTATATACCGCTTATCCGCGCCTCGTATCTCGAGAAGTCCGTGAAAGTTTGAAGCGCACGAAACGCGTCAATTTCGGATGTCCGAAGACACTTCGGCTGGATGGAGGATAGACATGCCCCAATAACGTCTGTCTGTCTCCGTACATGTCTCAGGCCACGCGAGGAATACCAAGGCGTAATGGAATCTCGCCGTTTGCCATTGTCGAGACCGGAAACAACGGCGCGATTCTTCGAAAGGGAGGTGGCGAACCACTTGGATCTTAATTGCCGTTGACGCGACGCTTGGCACGAGCCGAGCCTCGAGATTGGTGTATCGAGTACGGGATGTGTCGCACGTAAGAAGATCGATGTATATTTTAAGGTGCAGGGGGTGGTTTGGATATAAATTGCGAAGTTTTCACGGAAATGCAGGGAACTGGTTCCTAGATTTTTGTAGTTGAGCCATAAATCCCGCGGTCTAATGATAACACTATTAAAAAACACATAAATGGCAAAGGAAGTGTAAATTGTTGCCAGGACCGTTACCAAGCGATGAACAATCACACAACGCCTTATGCTTGATTTTAAATGCCTTCGTTTATTTATTTTCCTCAAATCACTAAATCATACCTCCACGAGGGTGGAACGCGTTATTTTCAGAACGAAGTGTAATAATGGGAGTCAAGGCTTTTTCACAATTACTCGAACCGTTGAACGCGGAATGCACTTCCGCAATTCCGAATCTGGCGCAGTGGAAAATTGAAAATGCCGTTTCGACCGAAATAATTTGATGCACCGCGGAGTAATCGCTCGCCCTCTAACGTGTTCATCTTTTCATTTACCGTTTTACTGTTTCTCTATATGTGGCTACGGTTGCGCACCGTTTACAGTTGCAAACTGGATCGCGTGACAGCCTAAGCTTCGAAAAAAAAAAAAAAAACAAAAAACACGTATGTGTACCTGAGTCAATTCTTCCTTGACACGTCCTGCTTCGCAAGGTTCTTTTTTCGAGGCATTAGTTTGGCTGTGAGAACGAATATTCCATGAGCTTCAAACGATCGTTTGCAATCTTCTGGGTAGGGAGAAATGGAGGGGAACTTGTAATTGGAAAGAAGTTAATACTTCGCTATTTATAAGTCGAGTTTCAACATTTTTCTTAAATACTTACAATAATAAAAGAATTTTTGTGGCATTCTTTAATTGTAAGAACAAACCACAATTTCGTAGCATTTTTTTCAAATTTATTTTCAACTTTCCATCATCGTAGAATTCAGATATCTTCCAGACACGAGAATCGCTCGTTCATAGACAATGAAAAAAAAAAAAAGAAAATGGTGGAATGTGGGTAGCGTTAGAAGATCCTATCAGGCTTTCTTCCAGACTCTGGACGCATGTTAACGGTGAATAACACGTGGTTATTCATTTCTCACACAATCCCATGTGTAACGGGGGTGTGCTCGTCTCGATTGCTTCGGCGCCTCAGGACGAATCGCGTGCTCGCGTGCAATCGAGTCTATCGAATTACGAATTCGCGTCGGAACAGGCATCTGCATTCGCCGATTACACCTACCGATATAACGCAGCTTAATTTACCCCTCGCGAGTCTGCTACTCTCCGCGAATCATCGATCTGATTCGCGCATCTATACTTGGGGGGCCTAAAAAAAGCGTCTTGGCCGCCTCGATCGACTCAAATTCGTTGGAGGGATCGTGGAATTTGGCTTGGCCTCGAAATTTATCTGTTTATCGATTTATTTAGTTGTTTGACACCCTTGCCTGGTAGCCAGATTGTAGTATAGTGATGTGACACGTTTTTGTTATTGGGGCAATCGGGATAAAATAATTTTCTAGGTAGGAGGGGAGATTATTTATTATAGCGAGCTACTCTAAGTATGATATGACAAATGCACAGTGTAATTTCTTGAAGGAAGCGGAATTACGAAAATCTATGGCGTTACGTTCTGAAAAATCCAGGTATCTGTATGTCTTGTTAGCCATGCATTAGTAATGGGGGATGAACGGAAAATTAGAGTTAAAGACGATGTCGAAATAACTCCAACAACCTCCTTTGATTACTCTTCCTTCGACTTCAATACTGTTAAAATCATAACTAGGTGGTACGTGTGTGCTACTGAATGTAATACTATGACATTTGGTAACGTTCAATGGTAAATCCTTTTTTGGCACCTAAACTCAGTCTATTTCAGTCCTCCTGCACAAGGAAAGTATCCTCTGGATTGTAATAATGAAAAATAGTTTGTCAGAATGCTTCAGAAAGGATCTTAACGAAGATAAGATATAAACTTCGGTAAACGCCAAATGGAACATTGGAGAAAAAGTACTGTAGCTTAACTAATTATGTCTTACTTACAAAGAAACTAGAAACCAAAGAAAGCAAATTACCGTTTTAACGACTAGGAGTGATTAAAGAGGTTTTCCACTTAATAAGGAATCCAGGATCGAAGTATTTTTCTTCGTATTCATCGAGGATGAACGTCCAATTAAAAGCAAGTATATGCTCTACTACATGCGTGTGTTTAATTATATTTATTCAACTTCAGGTACTCTGCAGTGGAAATGATTAAATTACACAAATTAAGGAAATTCCCCCACTTTGTCTCCCATTCCTCCACTGTCCTCCACAAAATGATTAAGACACAATGGTGTACTATACCTATCAAGCTTCGACACTATGAGAGTACACAGTTCGAAAGTGCATTGCAAGGGACATATAATTTTCAAATGTCATGCAAAGCGCTACAGCTCTATTTACACGTGCTCCACGCGTCAGGTGACGATCGTACCTTTCTGTCGAAGATACACCGGTTTCTCAGCGCGCATTTCCGTGCAGTGTCTCTTCCCACATGCCGACGACACCGTTGCTGTCTTCGAACTCGAATTGGTGCCTTCTTCAGTTTCCTCTGGCTCCTCCATCTCAGCAACTGATTCTTCAACGAAAATGACAAGTTCCTACAGACGTGCAGACATCATTCAACGAACACTCTGTTGCTTCGACAGATTCGTCACACGATTGCAAATGACTCCGAAAGGACCCGAAGCGTCAAGTTCAAAGTTTTATCTGTGAAGATAATCTCGACAATTCCAAGGATGAACGAAGAGGAACTGGACACGCGTCTCTGGCGAAGTTTGCAAAGGTTTGCGAAGGTTCGCGATGTCTGGCTGTCCTCAGGGCGACGTTCGATCTTCCAGGAGCCGATCGATGGTCTTCTTCGGACGTATTAACAAGTAGAAGAGGCAGTCAAGTGCTCGTTGCTGCATCGAGCTACCTGGACTGACAGGAGTTAATAATTCCGGCAGCTTTAGGCCGAGTCGGTTCATCGAGCCGCGCACGAGCTACCATCCCACCAGGCTGGGAATACGTATATGCATAACATCGAGCCGTGAACTCGAGGATACTAGCCTAACACCTTGGGCAATCCGTGATTGGGACGATGGGAAAAAGTTTCGCGCGTCAGACCTACGTTTTCGCCTTCGACGTTGCCTGGAAACTTCAACTCTACAGCGAAACCGTAGACCACTGGTTTTCAAACATTTTGGAAGATTAAATAGAAGAGAACATTTCTGAGCCTGAAATTCATAGAGGAAAGAGTGTTTAAGAGGATGACTCTGAGAAAAATATTTATTCGACACCTCCTTACGTTAAACTATCAACCTACTGAGTCCTCAAACTGATTTTCATTATAATGAATCTATACGTACACAGATGATAGCTTTTAAATTCGATTTTACGACTATACGGTGCTCTCTTGCAATGTGTGTCTGAGGGAACGGCACAGAATTGATTTCCGCACCTAAACACTAGCTCTCTTAGACATCATGCATGCCTTGAAGAATAAGTATTTTATCTGGACTCTTCAAAGGAAAATCGACCATAGCTTGAAACGAGGAGGATCGTTAACATCCAACCGTCAATCGAATGCTGCGGAACTCGAGTTACTTCGCAAGGTTGTTACATGCTTACTGAAGTTCTCGAGGTAGTCGAGTAATGCTTTTATCCCCGCATACACAGTCGAATGCTCGTATGCATTTGATTGCGTTTACATGTGCAGCTCGTCTCGCACGTGTGCAATTTCGCGATTTTATCGCAGCTACCGATCTTACAATGTTAGCACGCGTTTCGTGGCATTCTCATTGGAAATGGATAATCGAAAACAAAAGCCTGCATCTCGTGTCGAGGGCTGTAGGTACGGTAAAAATAGGAAGCATGGTCGCCAGGTCAAGAAGTGGCGTTAAATGCTATAGGAAGAATTTGAATGAAGTATCAGTCGCGAAAAAAATAGAAATGAATTATTTTACATTAAAACACAGTGTTAGAGCCCTCGTACGTTATATGTAGTAGGAGGTATTATTCAACATGTCGAGCATACGTTTATCAGAGTATATTTTATCTCCGTAGAGTAAAGGTTAACGACCCAATTGCATAATTTTCTAGACACAACTATGTAGAGGAAACAAACTCGGCGCCAATGCGAGCTGCCCTCGAGTATCGAATAATTTTGCCTAGATCCATCCACGTGGGGGGTGGGGAGTCGTTAAACTTCCAACGAAAAGCGTATCTTATCGCTCTCGTCCATAATTACCAATTTCCTGGCTATCATGCAGCCACCATCAAGATTACGTCGGCTGGTTAAGTTCAAGTTCGCGCTTGTTCGAAATAGATGCTCCATATTTGGCCTTCGAAAGTGCGAACCGAACTTCCCAGTGCATACGTTTGCGTGCATACTTATGTACACAGAAATATTTGGATTTACATGTGCATAGCTGCGTGATTAACGCGTGCTTGAAAGATTAAAGGTCTACGCATTAAAACGTGACTCTTCGATGTATTAAGTTACAACTTTGGTACATTGGGGTTTATGTGTAAACAAAAGGTTTAGTTTGATTCATCGTTGAATGTATTCCGTATGGTATGAAAGCCCTTTCATTTGAAATCATTTTGTTTTAATTGTTTTTTTCATCCATGTACCAAATATTTTATTTATTGATATCCCTTAGAAATCCTTGCAAATCTGTTGGTATCGTATACCCAATTACGGTAACAACGATGGTATTGCCATCTAGTGACGAGTGATGAACTAATTTATATACTCTATCCTTTTCACACACGTTTTCTATCTCTCTCGCACGTCAGCTAAACTAGTGGCGCCATCGGTGGTAAAATGTCCAAGTTTGTAGCGAAAATAGTTCCTTCATTTTTTATAAGATGGCGTCATTGTAATGAATTTCTTTTATCGTACATAAATGCTTAATTAGTACGATTCCTTGCTTCATAACACTACAATACATTAATTAAAATGCCAAATGTGCCGTTTTTATGAAAAGATACTTAAGGCAGTAATAATTATCGATCCTTCGGTTAATGGCGCCATCTTACAAAAAATGGGGAAACTATTTTCGCTAGAAACTTGGACGTTTTGCCACCGATGGCGCCACTAAATAAAAGGGTCGATAATTAGTGCTAAATTAAACAACTATTCATCAAGATGATAAATTGACGTATAAACTATTATATTATAATGTTATAAAGCATAGAATCATATTAATTATGCATTTATGAAAAAAAAAAGAATGGCGTCACTGTTTTAGGTGACGTGCTAGAGAGAGACAGAAAACGTGTGCGAGAAGGATAGAGTATGCAAATTAGTTCATCGCTCACCTTTAGACTATAAATTAAATAAATTGAAAACTATACGCATCATAGTAATCGCGTGAAAGCGCCAGGACCTGCAGTATTTTTAGTTTAGAAGTTGTTGAATAACAGCTTACTATTGACCTTATGGAGCATCCTATATTTAGGTGCGTGCAATGTCTGAAATATTTGCGCTGGTACGTATGCAACTGTGCATGCACGCGTTTGATGTCTGGTATAATGCCAGAGTACAATATGAAATTGAACTTCGTGTGGCGTAGTACCAGGAGCGAAGTTAAGAGTGATTACGTGCACCTACGAGTATTTG